AAACTCCTGAAAGAATTTTAGTTGCGATGGTTGAAAGCAACATAATTCACTTTTCGAAAATTCACTGTGTTACTCTTGATCTTAACAAATTGGATTATTGTGAAGTACTTTTGCATCGAATTCACTTTTGAGGGCAAGTGCTTTGGAAAAAACAGAAGCTATTTTAACATAGTTTCTTGCCAAAGTATTGACAGGTCTGATTAATTAACTGTCTGAAAAACAGAGCATGTCTAATTAAATTAGTCGCCGTTGTTTTTTAACCTGCGTGCCGAGAAAAGGTTCATTACTTTGCTTTTGAAGTTTGAAAAATAAATTGAATTCTTATTTATTTTTATCCCTATGATTTCATGTATTTTTAAGCTAATGAATCCAAAGTTACTTAAAAATAATTTAAAGAAAAAAATTGTTTAAAATATATATTATTATTGTATTTCGGTATTAATTATTTTTAAATAAAAGTTACTTCTACTTTCTTATGTGTGCATCCTCCTCCTATAGTTCAAAGGAAAGGACTTGACGGCATATGGATTCATCAAGTCTAATCCTGGTATAGATAAATAAATTTTCCACTTTTTATGATGTGCTTCGAACATGAATTATCTAATTTTGAAACCCTATGCAATATATTAGTCCTATATTTTTTCTAAGGTTGTCCAATAAGTTAATTATGTAAATTGTTTAAATATTGTTATTTAGAAATAAGTAACATTGGGTGAAACCAGTATTGTTATTTAGAAGCAATTGACATTGTTGAAATCATCATTGCTATTTAGAACCAAGTAACATTGTTGAAACCAGTATTGCTATTTAGAAACAAGTAACATTATCGAAACCAGTATTGTTCTTTAAAAACGAGTAACATTGTTGAAACATTGTTATTTAGAAACAAAGTAACATTGTTGAAAACGTTATTGTTATTTAGAACCAAGTAACATTGAAACCAGTATTGCTATTTAGAAACAAGAACAGAACAGCATATTTTTTCCTCTAGTACCGTTAAATGTTAGAAAATTTTCGAATTTTATTTCGAATAAAAGCCACAGCATAAAAATTTATTATACATCAGTCAATAAATTACAAAAATACCTTTTATTGTATGTAATACGTTGTGAACATGCTCCTTTTCCAAATCCGAGTGAAAGACGTAACATCATTGCTTTTACTCCAGTAACATAAATTTGATTTTAAAGACTTGCTATTTAAATTTGAATGAAAAGAACGACAAAATAGGTTTATTTATTGCATCATCTCTACACGAAATTTACTCCGAAAGAAAATCCTGAACTAATTTCCTTATCATGAAAGAAGTCGTCCTTTAGGAAGAAGCAGGACAGAAAAAAAAAGGATCCATTAACAGAAACTCCTGAAAAGATTTTAGTTGCAATGGTTGAAAGCAACATAATTCACTTTTCGAAAATTCACTGTGTTACTCTTGATCTTAACAAATTGGATTATTGTGAAGTACTTTTTACATCCGAATTCACTTTTGAGAGCAAGTTCTTTGGAAAACAGAAGCTATTTTATAGTTTCTTGCCAAAGTATTGACAGGTCTGATTAATTAACTGTCTGAAAAACAGAGCATGTCTAATTAAATTAGTCGCCGTTGTTTTTTACCTGCGTGCTAAGAAAAGGTTCATTACTTTGATTTTTGAAATTTGAAAAATAAATTGAATTCTTATTTATTTTTGATCTTGTGATTTCAAGCATTTTTAAGCCAATGCAGCTAAACTTATTTAAATTAATTTTGATTGTTAAATTTATTATATTTTGTTTAATTGTTTTTAAAATAACACTACACCTATTTTCTTAAAATATAATATATTTATTTTTATTATACTTGTTTGAACTATATTTATTAAAAATATAATTAATTAAATTTTATTTTATTATCATATTTCCGTAAGTTATTTACCTAAAATAATTCAAAGTAGGCCAAAATTTATTAAAAAATAACAATACATGTTTCCTATTATAATTCTGTAGATCATTTTTTAAAAATTATTTTAATTTCCTTTTTCTAATTCTATATATTAAAAAAGATTTACTTGAAATTTTAAAACCAAAATAAATAAAATAACCAAAATAAATTAAACAATCAAAAATTCACATTTATTTCTTTATAAGTATTGGTTAGCATTTCAATATACGTAATATTATTATTCTTGAAACATGCATATGTTATACAATATGATTCCGTCTTAAAAATTATAAATAATTAAAATATATATTATATTAAAATTGTGTATGTTTTTACAATTTTTTACACAAAACATTTTTGTTACATGATATCCAAACATTTATGTTACATTAAAAATATCAATTTAAAAATAAATTCTGGATGGTGATATATCAAAATCCACAATTATCTTCATGAATTAATAATGCAAAATTTAATTACTTCAGGCCGGCAGGGTTAACTTTTCTTATGCAAAAGATATTTATATTAGTTATTTTCAAACACTTTTACCTTTACTGCCCCTTTAAACCATTATGTTGCCGCAACATTTTTTTAATTTGCACTTTTAAAATGTACAGTACAGGAGATGACCATTTTAGGTTAATTTGGGCTGAAATTCTTCTCCAGTCTATGTATCCTTGGTGAGTCAGGATGCCTTTAAGTTGCTTTTTAGCATCTCTACGGATGACTCATTTCTCTGAACTCTAAAGAATTTATAATGTAAAAGTTATAATGTAAATGAAATTTTAAATGCAAATGAAAATAATATACGAAGATGTCTTAAAAATTGTAGCTTCTCCAATTTTCAGAACAGAAATGGAAAAAGATTGACTCAGGTAAAACTTCTTTATACTTGAAATCGAGGCTTCGCCAATATACAAAACCGAAACAGAAAAAAAAAAAAATATACTAACCTGCATTACTGAACTTAAAATAAACTGCTTTCCCAAGACACACACACACATACAAACACAGGGTTGAAATGCAGGGTGGTAATAATTAAAGGGACCCTATTCAGACCCCTCTAGGACCCGTTCTTCACAACAGTATTTGATGAAATTTCGTTTATACGGTATATGGACCATGTGGAAAAGATTTCTGCAATAAAAAATAGTTCGATTTTCGACTACCGGTGAGAATTGTGGCGCCTAAAGAAGGACAAAAAAATTTGTTAAAACCATTAAAATTTAGCTATCAAAAAATTTGTATTTATTCGTAACCGCTGTATGTTATGCCTATTTTAAACCGTTTTTTTAACGTAACTATACAATTGAAATGGGTGTTTTATTATGCATCTTTGGTTTCTATAATTTTTATTATGAATTAAAAGGAAAATCAAAATTGTGATTCTAACATGTGATTATATATATTTATTTTTTGTCAATACAAATCATATATACACGTCGATGCTTTTTTCTTGGTACTTCTGAGCACCTTGTAACATATGTATATCATAACAATATGGATACCACGACAGTAGGCATACCACTTTTATTTACAACGATGGGTGATTACGAGAGGATTATAGAGGATTTCGAAGACATTTTGGGGCATTGAAACATTAAATAACGAATTTTGCTTTTTGCAAACTAGTTGCATATGTTAACATTGGGAAACGAGTCTGACATCTAGGCATATGGAACAAGATCGTTCGAAACATGTTCAGCACTTTTGAACGAAGCACTAATTCAATAGATCTTTGCACACTGCGCACTTCCATTTTTAAAAATCATAATTTTTGACAACATCTGGGATTATTGGCATCTCTCTTATATCTCTTCAAGTCCAATGCAAGCATTTTCTAACATACAGATTTGTTATCATTCTTAACATTCACACAGAAATCTCATTTAGATTAAATACATCATATATTAATACAATGATAAATGAATCATTTTTAATCTTTCCATAATAAATTAATTGAAATTTACTAATTTTCCAAATTTACAGAGTTTAGTTCAAAATCAACGATCCTGAGATGGTAATCATTTACTTGGTACAATGCTTTCTCAAGTAATACTTCGTGTAATTGAATCTTTTGAAATGTTTAGGCTAATTAAAGAGTAGAGGGATTGAAATAACTAACTGATGAGATATTAAGTTCCTGAACTAGAGAAACCCGATTCTAAATTTGGAAAGGAAGATTTAAACACATGTTCCCGTTTCTTTTAGGAACGGGTATGAAATCAGTTGATCAGAACTCGTAGTATTGGGGTTGAAGATGTCGTAAGTGGGAATTAATGTTAAGATTTTGTCCTTGGGGATTTCCTTTCCAAATTGCGTTATTATAATAAACGAAATTCAGTTGACTTTATTTGATTAACTGTCTGCCTCCGACTGAAGCGGATACGACATCATCAGAATCATTAAAAATTCACGAAAACGTATAGCCAAAAGCGAAATGTATTAAAATTTTAAACTTGACAAACATTCTCAATAAACAAACATTCGTTAACGAAACGTAGCGTTTTAGAAATTTCAACATAATGAATGTTTGTAACTTTAAGACATATTTCGTTTATAATTCATTTATTTAACTAGTTCTTTTTGATTTAATGCAAACTTTTCACATTTATACACAGTCAAGACTCAAAATATTTACCTATATTTAATTACTTAGAAATATCTTGAAGTATAACATACTAACACTTTGTAACGAAATTCGTATCTTACTAAAACTTCGATACACATGCTTATAATATTTCATTCGATTTATGTATGTTCTGTCTGAATTAAGCGAAATAACTATGAGCAAAATAGACATGATATTTGGTATGTACCACGAATTCTCTAAATAACATACCACCGGATTCGTTCACCTGCGAGGAATATTATAGATCGGTGTCTGCTTATGTGTGTTATACGCAGAGTTCCAAAATTCACAAATCTCATCCAAACTTAATTTCTTGAAGAATTTCCAGCCTCATCAATAGAATGCTGATTCAAATGCGCTGTGTTTCGCGGTCCGTGGATGAAAAGGGAACCCTCCTCAAGATCTTTACGCTGAAAGGTTCTGCTAGTGTGCTGCATAAAATGCATAGCCAACGGTCATACCATGCTGAATATACCGGTTCTCGTTAGATCACTGAAGTCATGCATCATTGGGCGCGGTCAGCATGGTATTGGGTGGGTGACCACCTGGGAACACCGCGTGCCGTTGGCATTCACACATTTGGGACCTGAATGGCCGAGTGTCTAGCGCCCTGGCGCTCAGGTTTCGGGTTCGAATCCCGGCGGTGTCATGGGTGTTTGTAGTGGTTCGGAATCCACTGTATGCCTTAGGTCCCGGTCTCCTATGACTGGTTAAGAGCGTCACGGAGCCAAAGTCAGGCTACCTACGGGGTCAAATTCCAATCAGAACAGAAGCTGCTTCCTTCCTTCAATCATGAGTACGTATGGGCTCGTGGGCTTTGCCAGCCAAAGGTGGGAGGGTTAAGAAACAACAACATAAATGCGTTGAATATCAACTTTTGTTGATTTCGAATAAAGTCCCCAAATATGTGTATGCATTATTGAGGTTTCGTTTGCAAGCTAATGGTATATGGTAATCCGCGAATAATTTAGCATTCAAACATAAGCGAAAAAAAAAATTGCATTTTTTTCTCTTACTTCTGAAATAAAAATGTAAAAAGAAAAGTCGTAGCTGGTACATGTAGCGCATTAGGTTTCTTAGGATACCAATAAAAATTGAACAAATTGAGTTGAATTTAAAGCACCTAAAATAATTAGTTGTTTTTATATGAAACAGTTACTCGCGCTTCAAAAATTGTATATTATATATAAATATAAAAATATAATACCTAGGCTCACTTTTTACCACGATTGTCATGCTAATCTAAAGGAAAAGATATGCCACTAGATAAAAACTCTGTAATCTCTGAATTTACAGGAATTAGATTTGTAATAAGAAGAATATTTACATCGAGAGTGAAGATATTCTACAAATCTAAATATTTATCAATAACGAACTTTACCGGTCACTACATTGAAAAAAAAACTATATTCTAATTAATAAACTTCCTTTTAGTACGAAGACTTGGAACAATTAGATCAAAACCTTAGATCGTTTTCAATCATCCAAATTTTCAAACAATTTGCCATATTTTTTCCATAGAGATAATTGTAAAAAAAAGACGAATACCAATAGCCTTTAAACTGATTTTTTGATATCAATATTTATATTTATAATTCCTCACGAATCATTATTTGAAATAAAAACTCCTCTTCACTATCAATAGACTTACATTGAAACTTCAATATTAGTAACAAAATACATCGGGATATCATTATTAATCCATTACGCGCATTCAATCCATATATAATAACACTACTTTTAAAAAGCAACACTGAAAAAACACAAAAATACAAAGTCTAATAATGATTCTAATAATTACAATCTTCTAATGATTCAAATTCTCCAAATAATTATGTCCCTGCAGCATTTTCTAAGTCGATACTTTTTTTTCTGTAATTTCCCAGCTGTTTATTATTAAGAAATTTTCAAATTTTCAAATTTCCACAAATTATACACACTGTGACTGTTTTCTCTCCAATTTTTTCCAAGAAACAGTAAATAACCCCATACACCTCTACACCACTATTATATTTTTCCACGCTGCTAATTACCAGCATCTCCTACTACGAATAATAATTCATCCTACTCAGATACTCAACAAATATAAATTAAAGATCTTAATTTGTCACCCAATCCCTCGGTTAATGGCCATATTCTTTTATTATTTAAAAGAATTTTCGAATATACTTATGATGTTAATAATTATCATCTTTTTCATCATAAATTGTTAACATGTGTTTAGATAGTTTGTTAGTTAAATGAAATTAAACGTAACAGTTTAGTTGCAAAATATTTCTTACAAAATGAATCCATTTGATAAAATACTTGCTTTAATATATTATTATTTACGATTTATTATTTGATTTATTTCACGATCTTGTTTGTTTAAAATTTTTGCATTCTACTAAATTTTTCAACTTTTCAATATTTATTCACATTTATTTTTTCTTTGATATAAAAAAAAAACCCTCAGACTACAATATTCAAAATTATAATTTATCTCTATTTGAAAAATAACAATGTTTACGCAAAAATTGTATAAAAAAAAAAAAGCCTTTTGAAAAATATTTTTTTCTTTTCAAGGAGATATTATAAGGATGTGTTTATAAAACTCTAATTGCATGAAATTTAAATCATAAATATTTTGCGAGAAACTCTTTTCTTCGAAATTTTGTCTGCATTTTATATACATGAAATAGAATACTAGTGCTTTATTCATAGATCAATAATTTTAGGAAAAATATTTTATGTAAAACCGTGCTATCTATATTTAATAAAATGTTTACATTGCGCTTTAATAATTTTTGATAGCGCTCGTTGTTTCTGAGATGTTTACTATTCATTATTACCATTTGTATCACAATACTCAAACTTTATTATAAAATTCGTATTTCTATATTTTTTTCACTTTACGTAGTGTTTATTTATTAAAATAAACTCTACGCAAAGTGTAGAAACTGATAAAAATTTGGTTATTGTTAAAAAATATCATTTCCATAATTATTTCTCATAAATAGGAATATTTCTCATATATAGGAATTATTTCTCATAAAAAGGCTATCTATATTTAATAAAATGTTTACATTACTTTCTAATAATTTGTGACTTTATTTGTGAGCTTGTTGAATGTAAGGTGCTTACTTTATTACCATTTATATAAATATATTAAAAACTGTTTATAAAATACATCTTACATATTTATTCAATATTTTTTACATTTACGTACTTTTTATTTATTACAATATTCTAAATTTATTATTATTTTTAAATTTTATAAAATTTCATTTAAAAAAAATTTAACTCACAAAAGGATTCTGATCTAAAATGAAGCTGAAAATATTGTAAAAAGTTGATTATCTCTTTAAAAGTATCATTCTCATAACTATTTCTCACAAATAGCATGATATATACACTTATTGTCTGGGACATTTTTATGGTCATACAAAGTATATTCCCTCAAAGGTTCTTTGAAAGGAAATACAATGACGGAAGAAACGGGAGCAGAAACACAAGACATCAACATGAAACTAAGTTATTTACTGAATTGTTACTGAATTTACTTCTTTATTTACTGAATCGTTGACGAGTGCTATTTACAGCAAATTAACATTAATTTTTTACACTGCGTGCACAAACAATAATACATACTTGACTTTGTCAGCCTGAAATATGGGAATTGTTGGTGGGTTTGCTCATTGGTAAATTTTACCACTCGATTTATCAAGCCACAATTACTTCTTATAGGAGTATAACAAAACTTCACTTAAGTTTATAATTCTGTTTAGGTTGTGCTGCTGTTGCCATTCTCTTGAGGACTCCCGATCATTTGCTGCTACTGCGTGTGCAAAAAATATCTTTGTGTCTTTGAAACTGAGCCTTAATTACTGCATCAATTCCTAAAAAAACATTTGAAATACAGGATAAATTAATTTTAAAAAAAAATAATTTATCCTGTATTATTAGAATATTGTGTTTGCTCATTACTTATGAAACAGAAAATGAAAAAAAATGTGTATAGTAACAATATATTTTAACTATTCTGTATCAGTTTGAATTATCACTGAAGTATTCTGTACGACAATGTATAAAAAAATACTTTGTGAACAAATTTATTCGCAAGAAATTTTTGTCAGCTAGAATTTCTTTGAATAAATGTGATTAACAATTGTGCTTTGATCAGCTAAATTATAAGACAGACGTCTAATAATTTTAAGTCATCCGCTGGACAGGAAAGCAAACTTAATTCATCAATTAATGTTGTCTGTTGATTACTCCCAGTATAGAAATCATTAATTGTAACAAAATCAGCATAAGTCTTGTAAATTTCTTTGTAATAATGCTAATTCTAATACTTGTGCTTCATGTGAAACCACAAATGCTATATTTAGTTCGAGGAAATTCATAAATATTAATGAATTAATAAGAGGTATAAAATTTACATAGTGTAATATAATTCTCTATTTCATAATGGATTATTATCCAATTATTACAAAACCCACACAGTCTTTCAATAGATATGCTTTTCAAAATACTGAAGACCACCAATCCTTTTTCACAATATCAGTGTTTTAAAAAATAATGTAATATAATTGCCCTTTATAATACTTAGGTAATTGAAGGAGTTGAAACACAGACAAAAAACCAAGTATATAACAACCAATATAACACATATTTCACCAACTTTTCAATCTATCAAACAGTGCATCAAGTAAGAGTTATAAGTGGAAATCCGATCCGTGGTAGCCGATCAGTATAGATAAAATCTGAAAGCAGAAGAAGACAGAACGATGCATACAAAACCGATTTTCCTTGAATTTAGAGAAGAAAGACACATATTCTGTCATAAATCATAAATGATGGGGGAGACAAAATCAATCTTCCTGAGGTCGGTTCTGTCTCACTTAAATGTATTCATGGACTGTTACTGTATTCATGGATGCTTTGCTCTTGATTCACAGTGGCAGAACATCGAGAATGCGGGCAGAAAATTCAGCTTTTCGCCCATTGATCTTGGAAATTGTTTTTGGGAGTTTGGGGAGATGCTAAATTTAAGATTCTCAGAACAATAGTCTTTTTTTTTTTTTTTTTTGGTAATTTAATTGTTCATCAGATTTGGGAAAAAATTTCATAGGTATAATTATAGGTATTTTTATCAATATATTTAATGAACGATAATGGCTGCATAATAATTTTCATTTCAATAATGAAATATATATTTTTAGTGAGAATATAATTTATTGTTAAGATAATATGTGTTATGCTGATGATATTGAAATTATCTTTTAAATCTTCAGTATATATACTTTTTGAACCATAAATTTAATCTTTTTTGAAGCTACACAGTTTTGAAACACGGAATATTTGAAAACGTGCAAATAAGAAAATACCTTCAAAACATTGTTATTGAAGCTTATGGGTCATAAATATCTTTTGGGTTATTAACAATAATTTTTCTTTGATTACATTTTACAAAAAATAATTTTGCTAATAATAATAGCTGGAGAAATTAACACCATTAACAATTAACATGCTTGCATAGGCATGTGCAGAACTGCATGAAACAATCTCTTATAATTGCTGTGTT